CAGTTAAAATATCATGATATGTTTCCTTGTTAAATAATCTAGAACAGGCTGTGACACTTGGTATGGTATTTACATACTGCGATTTCACATTTTCAAATATTTTTAGGGGTACTTGTCATAAAGGGAACATGAAAAATTACAAAAATACTTCTTCAAACATCGTCGTTTATAAACTTTATTAACTGAATAATGGAGTTTATGAAGAGACTTACTTTTACAATTGACGACTGACTTTTACAATTTAAACATAGACAAACTCCAGTCACTAAAATGTGAAAGTCAGCTGTCAAATGTAAAAGTAAGTCTCTTCATAAAACTCCATTATTAAACAATATGTTATCAAGAATAATTTCTTTTTTATTCAATTAACATAAAAGATAAGTCCACCATTAAAAAAAAAATAGTCAAATGAACTCTATTATTTTGAGTCAATTATGCACCCTACATTTGTAAATATTTTTTAGAAGTCTTTGTCACAATGTTTTCAATCTTTAATATGATGAAGAACATAGCCAAATGATTACAAAAAGTGATTAAAATATATAACTTTCCCCTCTAACTAATGAAAGATAGGCTATTTACCGATACTAATATTCTTGACCTTTTTGCACTGACACGGGATTTAATAATTAAATGACTGATTGGGGTTACTTTCAGATTAAATATTTATCAGAAATTGTACCTTTACTTTAAAAAGATCATATTAAATAGAAAAATTGAAATTAAACACCAAGAATATGAATAGGTAACAAATAATTGTTAAAAGGAATGCACATCATTTCATTATAGATATCACAAAAGAGTACACACGATCAAACGATCTACAACACGTACATCTTTGACTTTCAGGGTTAGGGTTTCATCAAGACATTACACTATATAGCTGGCAACTAAAGATTTCTTACGATTTATGCATTCCTTCAAAATGGTTACATACCATTCAAATTATTTCGAAAGTTGTATGTACATTGTAATTTCATTACACTAGATAGTCTTGGGTTTGTCAACTTCAGATCTAGATCTAGTAAAAAAAAGGTGCCCACATATTTTCTCTTATTCCAGAAATATATTGCCATTAAGCATTATAAACCAAATATATTTAAATCTAATTAAGATTATGTTGGCATGATTGAATTCTGTGAATTTCAAAATGCAGTATTTTCTACCATTTCTATTGAAGCTGTCAAGTACGGGAAAAAGTGGCATTGAATTAATTATGACGTCTTAATGGGTTAGCACAGGTTTAACACATTTACCAGTTATGATGTCATACGAAGTATGTTCTACGTTAAAAGAAATGTAATGAATACTGTGTGCTAAATCAAAAGTTTATGTCTACATGTATATTTTTTGCATTAGAATGACTGTGTATTTAACACTAGCCCATAGCTTTACAGAGCATATTTTTAGGTCTTATACTTACCCCATCCCCTTTCTTATTTAGGAGGAAGTCGATATTGAACAAAAGCAAAAAAAAAACCCTACCTTTATTTTTCTATAAGAAGGAATTAAAAATAAGCTTAAAATAATCTACTATTCTACTAATTTTTAACTGTTACTTTGCCACAATACTTTCAAGTATACCTCAACCAACATTTAAAGTATGCTTTAATCATGGAGAAGTAAATTATGATAGTACTTGTGTGAAGGCTTAACTTCATTTCAATATTTTATCTAGAGCCTCTTTCAGAATTATTGAAAGGTAAAGAGTTTTATTTATATTTTTGCTTTTCATTTATTATTATTATTTGTTTGTTTTGATTTAACGTTATGTTCTTTTTTTTGGGGGGGGGGGATAAACATTTCCTCTTCTTTCATTGTCAAATAGGATTTGCCAAACTTAAACATGCTAAAAGTTAAAATGACGGAAAATTTAATTTTTCCTATTAAGAGTATTTAAACCTGATTTTTGCATGGTTTGATTTCTAAAAACAAGTGGAATATCATTCTTTAAGCAAACATTATAAGGAGGAATATTAAAAAGAAATTTCATTTACTTGACAATTAAAGAATCTCTTTTCAAACACAATTTTAGCATTGAAAGACTACGTGAATCTCTTAATTATTTCATACGACTTTTTGTATTTTTCTGGTTACAGAAAATTTAAAAATTAGTTTCGCTGTAAAAAAGATATCAGAGTGTATATTTTGTATCACTTTAATGGGGGTCATTTTTCAATGGGGGTCATTATTCTATAGGACTACATATAAATTAATGACCCCCTAGGACTCTTTTTCTACAAAAAATGATTTTTTTTCTACGGGTGGGGGTCATTTTTTGTCGTTGAAAAATGACCCCCCGGTCATTATTCGATGGGGGTCATTATTCGTCTTTACACCGGAAGATGAATTTTGGATGTCAGTTGAGTGTGATGTACCAACTTGATGTGGTCAGAGCTAAAGAATTCGAAGGGTATGATAAAGAAACAGCGCCCAGGCCCTGCGGCTGTGACCCAATATATACTCTTAAACAGGTGTAAAACCGAATGTTTCAAATCACACTTAGAAATTCTTTCTCCGTAAACAGACTTTCCGGGCCACCTATAGCGTCATGCGAATTTGATTGACAGGTGACGCACGACGGTTTCAGAACAATGTGCAAATTGGCTGAATATGAAACCAAAGTTGTGGAAAATAAAAATCATTAGAATTATCAATTGTGGCTTTCTGAAAATAAAAACAAAGGGTTCAATATAACTAATTTTTTTCACAGATGTACATGTACATGTATGTAACACTGACCGGGTTGCATGAGTCTCTCTCTCTCTCTGATATTGTTTTTTTTTACACACTTTGCAAGAAAGAATAACTTCTATAAAAATAAATTCTTACACTGAAAGGATTTTAAAATTATAAATATAACACATTACGAAAAGAATGTTTTCCGTAACTCGTTGTACTGATTTCGTATTTTTGCTGTCGATTCTCGGATCTTAATCCAGAATAACTCAAGATGAACAAAATATATGTATTTTAATTAATCTTTATTTATTACATGAGCACACGCGCGAGATTAAATGATTCATTTAGAGTTCTATTCAAAGTTTTAATTCTATAAAGAAATTTTATATTTGTTAAAGTGAACGAATAGTTTAACAAATATAAAATTTTACTGAAATGTTTGTCGAAAGTTTAAAAATAAGTTTAATTTAGGTTTCAAACACAAAATTTTAGTAAGTAGAAATGGGAAGGAAGAGTTATTTTTCACCGCTTGATCCGTATGCAACCGACTTGAAGGTCAGTTTAACTGTCGCTGGACAGTGTTCTACAGAGCAGATCGGAAATATAGATAAATTAATGTCATAGTTTACAATAAAATTGACAAATTTTGTTTAGCAAGCATTGCAATCTTAACCTCCGAGATTTTCCCCTCAATGTTAAATTCTTTGTTACCGATGTTGGACAAATTGTATTTTGTTTTAGGCCTATTTTATGTGTTTTGTTGCATTTTATTCACCACACCACTTCCTCAAACAATAGCTTTGATTTGAACAAACTGAAAATAATTTTTATTTAATTGTTTTAATATTTGCTTTAGAATCCTCCCTACACTGCTCACTAACAGATCTGATTCTGCAGTATTTGTATTGCAATTAGAGTATACACCTATATCTAAAGTAAACCCCCAAAAATAAATCTACAGTGCTTTATTCAATTTGTAATGAATTCAAGCATTTGTAAGATTTAAATAGGCCAAGATAAATTAAAAAAGTATTTTATGCAAGTGTTTTTCTCAAATAAGTTAACAATATATAGTTATTTCTACTCATTTGTATTCATCATCTTTATTTTCCTGTGGGATTATGCAAGGTATCCTATACTGAAAATGAAATGGATATGCTCAAAATTTCCACCTTCATGCATTAAATTTTTTCAATGTCTAACAATATTTTGCTTGAGTTCCAGTATATAGAGGGTCCTTAAATTAAGATCATAAACAGAAAACAAATTTGATTAAAAAATTTAGATGTTTAACTTTTCACATAAAGTTAAAAATTAACTTATACGGTAAATGTTTTTATATTTGCAAGTATTTTCCCAAGATGAATCTATTTTAGAGCAAATATGTATGTTCAGCGACATGACAAAAGAATTCCCATAATTTCTTTTGAAATTAAAGAGGAATTCGATGAAATACTGAAGAAAAAGTATCCATGGTGAGCACTGTGACCCGCTGGCCTCTTGTATTCTAAGGAGGATATGTTTGAATATTTCATGGTTGATTTATGTAGTGAATCGTGCATTTTCAGGAGCAATAAAGTTTAAACTTTTTGATATTAATATTAGAGTGTAATGGAGGACAATATGGTCAGGACTGCGGCCTAACATGTGGAGCCTGATTTGGTGGTGACAGACAATGCCACCACCTGAGTGGTTCCTGTATGGAGGGGTGGGCGGCTGGCTTTAGAGGGCAGATTTGTAAAACGAGTACGTCACGAAGAATTTTAAATTATATACAGCGTATTACAGAAAAAATCTTATGCTTAACTTGTAGATAAGGATAATTTCTTTGACGAAATATAAAACAGACACCATATGTAATTTTGATTTGATAAAATCAATTATAGCAGCAATTTTATTTTCATGTTGTACAACTAAATGAAAACAATGGAAGACATTTCTTTAATTGAAAGGTAGACAAACATGAACCAAAAACGATGTAAAGAAATTGATTTTTAATGTCAATTTACAAAACTTCAGAATATTTTTATGAAAAAATCAATTACAAGATCCTGCTTATTCCTTCAATTATTTTAAAGAATGTTTACCGGGCACATTTGATAGAAACTGTAAAGGGAATTGCTCTCAGAATTGTGGAAAACCAGGATAATGTTATGCAAGAACGGGGGCGTGTGAAGGGGGGTGCCAGCCCGGCTGGGAGGGGCCACAATGTGAGAGGGGTAACAGTTTTGAAACAGATTTTACTTGGAAATGGTACATTGGTGTGGGGTTCTTTTTACTTCTTATTTATACAATTTATAACTTTTTCCATTCCATAGTTTGCAAAAGGAAGTACGGTGAGAAGTGTTCCAAAGTGTGTAAATTTTGTCGGAATTCTGCCTGTGATCCTGTGGATGGATTCTGTCTACAGGGATGTACCGAGGGTTATCAGGGACCTCTCTGCAACGAAGGTAACTTATCCGTTATACCAAATGTACAATATATCTGTGTTCTGTGCAGAAACATATGGAGATAACGAACAGTATTTAAGATCATTAAAGTCCCTAAAACAATTACGAAATAGGAGTAGAGCGAACAAGGGCCTCCAAAACATCAGAGGAGGGATCAGGTGCCATGGAGGAGTGAGCATTCCATGCTGACCGGACACACCTGCCTTGTGCTCCTTGTCATGATCGGGTAATAACGGAACAAAATCCGTCCTCAATTCAGTGAAAAAATAATGGACTACCAATTAGTATGAAAAACGTAAGTCTCGGTTATGTTCAAGTAAGAAAGTCCCCACATGAACATACGATAAACTCAGCAGTTTGTAATCAATATCTTATTAATTCATGTCTAATACGTTTCTTTCTCTTTTTTATTTAAGTTATTTTAATTCATTTTCCCGACGTACGGTTTATTCTTATAACTTTTAACTTTTTCAAATTTATCTTTCTGACACAAGCTTTGTTTTAGTATGTAATGCTGGATTTTATGGCAATAATTGTAAAAAAGAGTGCAGCCTCTTCTGCAAGACATCACGTGACTACCATCACGTGACCGGAAATTGTAAAGACAGATGTATAGGAGGGTGGCGGAATGCAGAGTGTTTGCAAAGTACGTATCTTATCCTAGCTATAAAACGATACTAAACGATTTTTTATGAACACATCATGGAAATATTTTGTAAAAGCTTTGTACATTGCGCAGTTTATAGTTGAAGTTTTAAAAAAACATATTGTAATTGCATAGTAATGTGATGTAATATGTAATGGTTTTGTGCAGTTGTAGAAACAGAAGTATGGCACTCCAGATTTAATGGTGTTCTTGCAGGCCTGTGCCTAAGCATAGGAACGATCTCGGGATTAATATTCTACATATATATGATTAAGTAGGTTTATCGTTTTATATATCTTATAATAAAATTTTTAAGTATTTTACGATCTGATCCATTTTATTCTATTTCTGGCGATATAGATAAAGCATTTTTTATATAAATTTTGACAGTATTCAATTTTTTTTAAAAATACTGTCAAAATAAAGTAAATAGAAATGTTTGATTTCAGTTCATTATAAAAATATCTGTTAAAAGTATTTGAAAACTTTATTGTAAAGGTTTTCTCTACTGATTTTCTTTTTTTTCTGCAGAAAAAAGTACCGTAAAAGAAAAAGAGAGCAAAATACGGCATCTAATGCGGGACCTATCAACATTATTTCTAGTGAAGCTGGCGAAGCCGGGGAAGATGCAAGAAAACATTACTCGTATCATAAGCTTGCCCAATCGCCGATTTTATCAGATTTATAAATGCTGCTATTCTTCTCAATCTAACGTGTCTCAAAGTAACATGTGTTTACTTTTAAAAACTTCATTGATTATATCAGAGACATACAACATGACAAATTGAAAAATATCAAAACTAGTGAGGAGCACATGGCGGGTGTGACAGATTGGGGATGCTCACTCCTCCATGGCACCTGATCCTACCTTTGATGCTTTGGACTATGTGTTTGGTCTGCTCATATTTTGTATTCTTTTAAAAGCTATTGATCTTGAATAATGATCATTACCTCTATATATTTCAAATATATTATTAAAAATGTACTGTTATTTATCTATATGCGCGTAAAACTCAACAGTAGTGTAAAGGGTCATCAAAAATAAGAAAATCATACAAAGCAGTTTTATAATATACTCAAAGCATTCCTTGTTAATCTTTACATATGTGTTAAGTTTTTGAAGCATAACCTCGGTATACTCATTTTTAAGGATCCCCAAACATGTACCGAGGAATAGCACTTCCTAAGACAAATTAATGAATAAGCCTCCTTTTAATTATTTTATAGCGTTTTAGAATTAAAAAAAATGAATGAGATCTTGCGAATGTGGGGATAGCTAAACTCTCCTTTCTTTATTCAAAATGTTCTCCATTTTTTAAATGTTTATTGGCATATCAACGTTTTCATGTCCAAGAAAATTACCTTCGGGCGGTAATTGGTCTTTCCTCATGGTAAACAAAAACTGCTTATTAATAACATTCCTTGGTACAATTATTACCAATAATGCTAAGGCCAAAATAAAAAAAATACCTTTGTTTTCCCCTAACGCGACCAGCCCAATTAAATCGTGCTTACTGAAAAGATTTATTTAATAAGATGCTTCAAAAATATTTTTTTATTGTTAACCAAGTTTTATAAAATACAATTTCATCAAAATCAGTTTTTATCAGAACGGTCGACATTGTTCTACTGTGATTTTCAAGCATTTGTTGGAAACAAAATGGTGCCCAGATGTGATTTCAGAGAATAAGGTCTTCATAAAACAACGGCGAGGGGCCCATCTAGTGAACACGTCATTTAATTTCACTGCAATTCATTTAATTTGAGTTTTGAACTAATAACTAGTTCATCTATATGTTCCTATGTTTACTATATGCCATTATGGAACCATAGGAGTTGTTGTAAATATGTCTACATATTCTTCCTGATAAATATAATTCAGATGTCCTTTCTTCATGCCTTTATTTATGGGTTAAACTTTTTGACTGTGATATTGTATATAGCATTTTATCATTTGTAGATTCCGTTTGGTGAAATTAAATATTGTTTACATACTCTATACATATACATGTAGTTTTGAAATCATGATTCAGCTTCCTGAGACGTTCAGTGTATTAATACTAACTCAAAAGAACAATGAATTTTTTTTTATAGTTGTCTGAGTTAGTCTAAATAACGGATTTTTTCTTGAAAACCCCAAATTCCAATGATCAGAATAATACGCTGTTTTTATATCTAAGGACAAACTAATACCCTGGCTGGAAATATTTTAAGCCAAAATTTAAGTGTTATTTATATTTCAAGTCTGTATCAGAAAATTTCATCGAAAGCAACAGGAGTCCAAAATACATGCAGGAAACGAAATTGATAACTTGAGTTATATTGGGTAAGTAGGAAATTCAATATTTTGACGAAATTTGATTCAGTAAGAAAGTTTCCATATTTCCTAAGCAGAGTTACACATCATGATATAACTGAGATGTGTCTGAAATATTATATTCACTTGTCAAATTAGAATTGTAGATGTCTGAGCTTGACCCCCAATACTTATCGAGAGGAAGCTCCTTATCTACCCACAGTCTTTGCACCTGAGGTTAAATCTGTGACTTCACACTAGCATACACATTATAAGCAGAAAGGAATATACGCCACCGACAATGGACTGCATTAGAAGCTCACAAACGTAAGTTTTAATGACAAGACTAAAAACAATTCCTCATTCATCTGAATCAGTGTAATAAATGTAATTTGTTGATAGTTAAATTGGTTTATCTTTTTACACCACTGACTTTTTCAGTTATAAACTTCACTATATAAAAAAAATAAATGATTTAGTTAACTTTGTTGAAAAATAACTGATTCAGTTGAGGATTTTTTTTTATTTTATGATTTACACGTATGAATGTAAAAATTCTCTTTTTTTAATTAAGAGAAAATGCGCACTGTCGATATTTCTTTTTAATAAAACATAATAATTTATTAAGCTTATCAATTATGATAATTATATTATAGATTTACAAAAGTGAAACATTAATTATAATTATTAATATAATTATACAAGAATATAAATTTCACTTTAATCATTCTCAGTACTAAAGCAATACAACACATGTCAGAGTCGATGTTTGTGGGACTGTGTCGTGAAGTCGGGACCTCACAAGTGGTGGCCATGAGGAGAGATGTGATGGACATCTGGGAGATGGTGGCAACACGTGATGAGGACAGACAGATGGTGAGTGGAAGTCGCAGAGAAGGACTCAGACTGAAAGGATCAGATATAGACATAATGTTCTGGCAAAATGATCATCGCGTGATCTCGGACTTATCTCAGTCTCAGTATTACAACACACACAGACAAACACTGATCCCCTGTGACTGTTCTGATAGTCCACCAGGATTCACTTTGTTATATTTACTGTCACCAAGCATGAACAGACACATCCGCGAAGCTTGTGTTAGAATGAATAACAGATATTATATATCTAGTTCTAAATGCAGACAGATCGCTTTATTATCTCAGTCATTACTACCTTATAGCCTCTCTCCACATGGACCCTGTGTCAGTGGAACATATGCAACACTAGAATTTGATCTTGCCCACTGTTTTGTCAGTGACTTTTGGCCTCCCTCTGCCTTCCCATGGATTGACAGATGTCACTCATGGCCCCAGCCTCATGTTGTTGATGATATAGTGAAAAATGGATGTCACTTTGTAGCAATTGGACATAAGCTAGGAAATCATGAAGATCATGAATGGAGAATTTCTTTCTCCAAAGCAGAACAAAAACTTGTGTTTGCAATGAATCACTGTCAATTCTTAACCTACGGCTTACTTAAATTGATCTTAACAGAAATAGCTATTAATGGAGAAGGTGAGGATGATAAATTACTGTGTTCCTATCATATGAAGACAGTACTTTTCTGGGTGATTCAACAAAATACAATACCTCAGTGGTGTCCACAAAATCTCCTGGGGGGTTTTTGGGTCTGTTTCAAACTCATCCTCAAATGGGTGTATGAAGGGGTTTGTCCTAACTTTTTCATTCCAGGCAACAACATGTTTCTGGGTAAAATTCATGGCGTCAAACAACATCAATTATTTATAAGACTGTCTGAGTTGTATGAGAAGGGTTTAGCATTCCTGCTACATAGCCCCTCCATTAGATCTTGTATCATAGATGTCCTACATAACCCCAGAAACTCCATCTGTACAGATGATCATACTTTGATTTCTGAGGTTTGGTTTGATATAAATCTATTTGCTGAAATACAACATTATAACATAGAACCAAAAAAAATGGACACACAAAGGAGAAGTCTACATACAATAGAACAGATGATAGGTTCAGCCCTCCTGACACGGTATCAAGTCATTATGCTACAGAAACTTACTGCTTGTGTCCTTCAGAACACTGCTTTTATGTTACACATGGAAACGTACATATCTGACAACAAACTGAGGTATAGAGCTGACAAAATGTCCTGTTACATGCTGAAATTAGCAGCCAAATTTAGTTGTATCACAGACATGATGTACATAGCCATGTATTATTACAAGACACTTAGATACATGGAAGCTTTATCTATTATAGAGATGTCCAAGGTCAAGTTAGCACAGCCATATGTGATGCATGGGTCAAATGTAGATCCAGAGATGTATACTGAGGCTGTAGGGGGGCAGTCCTGGTCTACAAAGATGAGACAGGCTGTAGCAAAAAATATCACACTTAACAATGAAATCCATTACATCAGTGAACTGATACCTGAACAACAGAGTGCTATACAGAAAAGAAGTTGGTATTGTTATACATGCTAGAGATTTTGTGCTACAGACATGTAGACACATTGCGAGCACAAACAGCTCTAGATGATCTACAAACCCTAGTTCGTAATGATCAGGGACTGTTTATACATTTACTTCTTAGAGACATATCGTGGCAGATTCTGGGGATCTGTCAACAGGTGACAGGGAACCTCCAGGCTGCTCTATACTCCTACCAACAATCTCTCAGACAAGAACCGCAGAGCGAAATACAAACAGCTACAGAAATAAGAATACAGAGAGTTTGCCAATGGATTCCCTTTATTAATTAAA